CCTGCTTCAGATTCTGTGTCTCCCTCTCTCTGCCCTTCCCCAACTCATGCCCACACACACACACACTCTCTCTATCTCTCTCTCAAAAATAAACATTAAAATTTTTTTAAATAAATAAAAGTTTCCAACTATGATAATGGATTCATCCGTTTCTCCTTGTAATTCTATTAGCTTTTGCCTAATGTAGTTTGACATTCTGTTGCTAGGTGCCTACACATGAAAGAATGCTATGCATTCTTAGAGAAGTGAGTCTTTTATCATTATGTAATACCTCTCTTTATCCCTGATAATTTTCCTGGCTTTGAATTCTGCTCTGAGATTATTATAGCTACTGAAGCTTGCTTTTACTTCGTGCTGGCATAATGTCTTTTACTCTCCCCATTTTCTTTTAATCTATATGTGTCTTGGGGTGCCTGACTGGCTCAGTCAGTAGAACACTCATCTTGGGAATGTGAGTTCAAGGCCCACACTGGGCATAAAGCTTACATTAAAAAAAAAAAAAAAAAAAGATACATTAAGGAATGCCTGGTTGGCTCAGTCAGTGGAGTGTGTCTTTATATTTAAAGTGGGTTTCTTTAAAAAGAGAAAGAGACAGACCAAGAAACTGACTCATAACTATTCAGAACAAACTGGAAGTTACCATAGGGGATGGGTGAAATAGATGATGTGGATTAAAGAGAACATTTAAGATAAGCACTGAGTAATGTGTAAAACTGTTGAATCACTATATTGTACAACTGAAACTGATATAACACTGTTTGTTAACTATACTGGATTAAAATTTTAAAACTGAAAAATTTTTAAACTGAAAAAAATTTAAGTGGCTTTCTTGTTGACAACATATAGTTGGTTCTTGTTTTTTGATCCATCCTGACAATATCTGTCTTTTAATTGGTATACTTAGACCGTTGATGCTCAAAAGTGATTACTGATATAGTTGGATTAATATCTAGTATATTTTTTATCATTTTCTATTTGTTGCCCTTGTTCTTTGTTCCCATTTTGTCTTCTACCATTTTTCTGCTTTTGGGGGTTTTAATCAAATATTTTATATGATTTTATCTTTTTTATTAACATATCAGTTATACCTCCTTTTTTACTTTTTTTAGTGATTGTCCCAGTGTTTGCAATATACACTTAAAACTAATCCAAGTCCACTTTCAAATAACACTCTATTGCTTCATGGGTAGTGTACATACTTTATAATAACAAAATAATCTTAATTCTTCCCTTCCATCTCTTTATCATTGCTGTCACTCATTTTACTTATATATAAGCATACACAAGCATATATATATATAAACGTAAATATACATACACACACACACAATTGATGCTTGAACAACACAGGTTTGAAATGCATGGATCCACCTATACATGGATTTTTTTCAATACAGTATAGTACTCTAAATATATTTTCTCTTATGATTTTAATATCTTTCTCTAGCTTACTTTAAGGCTATAGTACATAATAAATATAATGTATAAAATACTTATGTGTTAATATTATCTTCTGTTCCCTTCTCTCTTCTTCTGGTATTCCCATTGCACATATCCTATTTATATTATTGATAAGACTTCTAGTCAACAGCAGGCTACAAGTGGTTCAGTTTTGGGGGGAATCACAGGTTACACATGGATTTTCTAATGTGTGTGGGTACATACGCCTAATCCCCACATTTTCAAAGGTCAACTGTGGGGGGGGGGCACCTATAAACTGTATATAGGTTTCCAAAAACATTATTGCTATTATTTTGAACTGTCATTTGTTAGATTAAAAAAAAAAGACTTTTCATTTTACCTTAATTTATTCCATTTTCTTTTCTTTATGCAGATCCAAGTTTCTGACTTCTATTATTTTCCTTCTCTCTAAAGAACTTCTTTTAACATTTCTTGCATGGCAGGTCTAATGGCAAAAAATTACCTCAACTTTTGTTTGTCTGAGAAAGTATTTCTTCTTCACTTTCAAAAGTAATTTCACAGGATACAGAATTCTAGGTTGATTTTTTTTCTCTCAGAGCACTTTAAATTTTTCACTTCTCTCTTCTTGCTTGTATGATTTCTGAGAAGTCAGATGTAATTCTTATATTTATTCCTCTGTAGGTATTTTTGTCTTCTAGATTCTGTCAAATTTTATCTTTGAATTGTTTAGATATATATCTCAGTGAACTTCTTTTGGCATTTACCCTTAGTGTTCTCTGAGCTTGTGTACTTTGTAGGTTGGTATCTCACATTAATTTGTGGAAACAGTCATTACTGTCTCAGTCATTATTGTTTCAAATATTATCTTCTGTTCCTTTCTCTCTTCTGGTATTCCCATTGCACATACACTGTATCTTTGTAGTTATCTACAGTTCTTAGATATTCTGTTCCTTTTTTCAGTCTTTGTGTCTTTGTTCTCTGTGCTTTTCCATCTTAGAGGTTTCTATGGTTATATCTTGAAGCTCAGAAATTCTTTCCTAAGCTGTGTCCAGTCTACTAATGCACCCATTAAGGGCATTCTTCTTTTATAGTGTTTTTGATTTCTAGCATTTCTTTCTTTTTTTTTTTAAGTTCTTTCTTAAGATTTCCTATTCTCTGCTTACACTGTTTATCTGATCTTATATGCTATCTACTTTATCCATTAGAGCCCTTAGCATGTTAATCACAGTTGTTTTAAATTCCTGATCTGGTTATTCCAACATCTCTACTTATGGTGTCCCTTCAAACTGTTTTTTTGACATTCAGTATGCCTTTTGTTTCTTGACTGTTACATATAATGTACTAGTTAAGAAGAACTACTGTAAATAGGCCTTTAGTAATACGGTAGTAAAGTGGGGAGGAGAGGAAGAGAAGTGTTCAGTTGTTTGATGATTATGTTTCAGTCTTTTGGTGAGCCTATCCATGTAAATGTGAATTTCATAAATGTTTCTCAGTTTTTTCTTCCCCCTTAGGTGGGGCAGGATGGCTTGAGAGGGCTAGCGTTGCATATCTCCCTTCCCCCAGGTCAGTTAGGCTCTAATAATACCCAGAAGGTTAGGCTGGTTAACTAGTTTCCCCTAATAGCTAACCTCGTTAACAAGAGCAGAGTGCTCTGGCATATTTCAAAATGGTTCCTTTTCTACTGCCCCTGCAAAAGTATGAGGGGATTTTTTCCCAATATTTACTGTGAGAATCTAGTTGAGCTCCTGGAGGTAAATCTCACAAAATTTTGGGAGCCCTGATGACTAGATCTCCCTGGTATTTTAGTTCTCAGTGCCTCCAGCAATTCATTAATTACTGTTCAGGTTTTCCTACCTGGGCTTGGTTTCTGGAGTGGTTTCCACTCATGAATCTCTAGGATTCTAGGAAGCCATTCCTAACCTGTTTGACTCTCTAACTTAGGGCAGAAGTTTGCCCTGCATCCTCCTCTTTCTTATAGATACAAGAAGAGTTGTTGCTTCTTCAGTTTGTTCAACTTTTCACTTATTAGGAGAGAGGGAAACTGCCAAGCTCCATACATGGGGAACTCACTAAACCTTTAAAAAATATTAACTTTTTATCCTCTTCACCAACTTACATACAATCCAAAGTAAAGACTCCAACAGCTAAACATGAAAAGGGTATGGAGGGAGAAGGCCAACTGGTCCCCAGACAAGCCCATCCCTGCTAACAGAAGGTGCTCAGAATCCTCACTGCTCAGAAATTCAACCTGGCCAGAATTCCAGAGTTAACTTCATTCAGGAATACTGACTGATTCTTTAAAAGCTTCTAAGAAGGACAGAGAGTATCTAAGATATCAACTGTCATGGGTTAATTGTTATAGAGAATCCCTGTCAGTTAATTTAGAAAAGTGAAGAGGCCCAGTATTCATCACTGTAGACCTCAGAACTCCCAATAATTAAATGAACAGCTTTTAGACTTGATGTAATTATGAACTCCAAAGTAGATGATCCAGTGAGCCTGCATTTAAAAAATTATCAAAGGTATCTTTAGGGACCTACTGGTCTCATATGTCCCCCTTTTCTCATACAAAACATTTCACTAAAAACAAGACTGCAGCCGTCCTTGGGTAAAATGACACAACACAAAGTTGCTCTGTCAAGGGGGAGAGCAAGAAATCTATTCTCCATCTATGTAAGAGCCTTAGGTATCAACGAACAGTCTTTAAAAAATCAGAAGAGAATGGGGATCATAACTGATAGTTATCTTGAGGATTACAGACACTTGATAACATATTCTTTTCATAAAATGTTATATAATAAAGGGTAACCGTATCCTTTAAACACTTGTTTGAAAGCCAACCCCTATCTAAATTTCTATTCAGAAACCTGAGACCTTAAAAACAGTGTCTTTTCCTGATCATTTCATTTTTTCCTCTTATACAAACATTAAATTATACTGATACAGGAAACAGTATACCAAAACGATATAGCCCTAAAACAAAAGACTGGGGATCTGGACATTAATCCCAGGTTCGGCCCTTATCCTTTACTTCTCTCTCATGTTGGTCCAATCCTCTTTGGGGCAGAAACCATGCTTTATTGATTTTTGCACATTAAATTAACTTATATAACTTAGATGATTATTAAATTATGAAATTCCAGTATTCAAAAAACTATTTCATAACTGATTCACTTTCTTGATAAAATGTTGAAGAACTGTTGCCAAATAAGTGTATGTTTCAGGGAAGCAAAAAGGATATTTAAAGCATTTCTCAACCTTTATTTTTACCATAACTCATAAGAAGAAATACATACATATATTTGTATGTAATGGTTATGACATACAAATATACGTATCTATCCAAAACAAAAGTTATAAGCAAAAAAGCAATTTGCCCTCAATATATCTGATGCTTTTGGCTATTTTCCATTAATTTTGTTTTCTAAAATGCTGTTCATCACCCACTAAAATATTTCATGACTTTCAAATAATTTGTGATCCAGAATTTGAAAAATATTGATCTATAGAACTATCTTCTGGAAACAAACATGGGAAAAAACTAAAAAAAGAAAAGTTTTAAAAGAATGATTACTTACTGAGTTGCTGCAAAAATGACACTGAGAGGCAACTGTTGATGACGTGGAAGGAAAGGCCTGACAGGAGACAGAAGAACACAAACATGTGGGACTTTTGCATTGTATACTCTCTGTGCCTTATTCCAACTCTCATATTAGTCCCTTAAAATCAGTGAGCTTAAATATCCCATATTTCTGTAATCTGCAAACCTGGGTAAACACAAAAATCACTGGGCAATGGGGAAATTACTGTTTAAAATGCAAATTACCAGGTCTAGCCCAGGAGACTCTGTACATTTAAAGTAGAGCTAATGAATCTGCATTTTTAATAAACATTCCAATGTTTTCTCTGCAGATGGTAAACAAGCCACACTTCCAGAAGCGGTGCCCTATGCCTGGGCTTCAGCTGGTCGTTAGCTCCCATTTTCTTGAGACCTTCTGAAAATCCCAATGATTTAGTTTTAAAAATTACTCCCAGAAAGTCTAGAAAATGCGTATACCATGTTAAAAATTTAACATTTCTCTTTAAAAAGTCAGCATCAAAAACTTCCATAAGGAAGATTACAAATTTGCTTTCTCAAGGAAGCTTATGTATATATGATATCAAGATTATTTTTCTAACCACACAAAACCTACAGGGAGATCCTCATTTTAATTTGACTATATGATTATCACAGGAGTATTAATCACAAATGAAACAAAGTGAAACTTTCGACCATGTTGGTTTTGGCAACAATCACACAAAGACAGCAAATGTCACCTACATGTCCACTTGTAACAACTGCTTATGTACTACGACTGTCATGGTGTCCTGCTGCATCTCACTTGACTTGATGACTTCATTTTGTTCTCAAATATACGTTCCTATTTACAGCGAGTACCTCTGAAGTCAGGCAGATTTAGCCGGATATCCCAGATCCCTCATTTACTAACTTAACAGACTTCAAGCAATTTACTTCTCCTCTTCTGGTCTCAGCTTCCTTACTGATAAATGGGGATAATATATCTTATCCTGTACTTCTGTTGTAAAAACTGATTGTATATATCAAGCACTTAAAATGGTGCTTGGCACACTGCATGCATTAAGAGTGATAGCTGCTATCATTATTATAAAGATATTATTCTCTGAAGATATCAGAGGTCATTTTCATTAGTAATTACATTTACCTTCCAAAGTATTTGTAGCGATTCTTTCCGGTTATTTCAGGATCTGTATAAACATCTTTGGCCATTTGAAAAGATGTATCTGTTCTAAAATGAAGAATGAAAACATTAATAAAAACTTACATGTCATTTCTAAATATTTCTATTTAATATTTTTATATCTGTAAAGTAGGAGATACACAGGGTATCTGAGACTGAGAGTAAAGTCTTCTCTAACATGTATCTGACTGACCTACATCTTAGACTAGAGTAAAACCTTGGATTGTGAGTAACTTGTTCTGTGAGTGTTCCGTAAGACAAGCAAACATTTCTAACAAATTTTACTTGATTAACGAGTGATGTCTTACAATACAAGTAGTACCTGATGCCAAACATCACATGATCACAACTGAGCCAATGAGTCTTCTCTCTCTCTCACTCTCTCTCTCTCTCTCTCTCTCTCTCTCTTTCACTGCGGGGTTGTGGATGATCGTCTTTCATGCTCAGATGCTCAGTCTCAGACCACGGTGTTTGACAGAAATCAGTTATTCTTCAGAATGTTGGAAGGTGCCTAAAACTTGCACTAGTATTTATTGTCACTTCAAAATACCTATGGATAGGGGTGCCTGCAGAACTCAAGTTGGTTAAGCATCCAACTTCAGCTCAGGTCATGATCTCACAGTTCATGAGCTCAAGCCCAGTGTTGGGCTCTGTGCCTACAGCTCAGAGCCTGAGGCCTGCTTCAGATTTTGTGTATCCCTCTCTCTGCCTCTACCCCACTCAGGCTCTGTCTTACCCTCTCTAAAATAAACATGGGGGGGAGGCAAGATGGCGGAGAAGAAGGGAGCTCCATGAGTTTCGCTTGCACCCATCTCTCACAGTGAAGGCTTAAAGTCAAGGAACACTGAGCCACAGGGGTTTGGGAAGAGAAATAGACAGAATACACTGGGAAGGCAACCTCATAAGTGCGGCTACCTCAAGAAACAAGCCAAAGTACACATTGTGGAGAGTCCCAAATACCACTACAAGTAGGGAAATAAAATAACCAAAGTCTCAACAAGAGAGACCAAGAGACACCATTCAAAGAACACTTCCTGAACAGACGGGCCCTGGACAGTCAAAGAGCCCACTTTAATACAGCAGCACCCACAGGGACAGAGTGCATAACAAGCTTTTAAAATTAACAAAAGATAGAAAGCTAACCAAAATGACAAAACAGTAGAACTCTTCCTCCAAAGAAATTCCAGGAAGAAATGAAAGCTAAAGAACTGCTCAACACAGATATAAGCAACATAACTGAACAAGAATTTAGAACAATACTCATAAAATTAATCGTTGAACTTGAAAAAGACATGGAAGACATCAGAGAAACTATTGCTACAAAGACTCTGGAGCTTAAAAATAGTTGTGATGAATTAAAAAATGCTATAAATGAGATGGATAATAAAATGGAGACGTCCAAGGCATGGATTGAAGAAGCAGAAAGGAGAATAAGTGATTTAGAAGACACAATTATAGAAAACGAGGAAGCTGAAAAAAGAGAGATAAACTGATCTAGGAACATGAAAGGAGAATTCGAGAGCTCAGCGATAAAATCAAACAGAACAATATCTGTATCATAGGAATTCCAGGAGAAGAAGGAGAGAAAGGCATTGAAGGAGTCCTTGAACAAATTAGAGCCGAGAACTTCCACAATCTGGGGAAGGAAACAGACGTTGAAATCCAAGAGGCACAGAGAGCACCCCTCAGATGTAATTTGAATCGATCTTCTGCACAACATATCATAGTGAAACTAGCAAAATATGGACAAAGAGAGAATTCTGAAAGCACCTAGGGAGAAAAGGGCCCTAATATACAAAAGGAAACCTATCAGAGTGGTGACAGATCTATCTACTAAAACTTGGCAGGCCAGAAAGGAATGGCAGGAAATCTTCAATGTGATGAAGAAAAAAAATATGCAGCCAAAAATCAACTATCCAGCAAGCCAATCATTAAGAATAGAAGGAGAAATAAAAGTCTTACCAAATAAAAAAAAATTGAAAGAATTCATCACCACTAAACCAGCCCTACAAGAAATCATGAGGGGGACTCTATGAGGGTAATGTTGCAAGTAACACAAGATACCAGAGACACCACCACAAGCATGAATCCTACAAAGGACACAATGACTATAAACCCATAGTTTTCAATAAGAACACTGAATGTAAATGGACTATATGCTTCAATCAAAAGACATGGGGTAGCAGAATGGATACTAAAAAAAGATCCATCTATTTGCTGTCTACAAGAAACTTATTTTAGACTGGAGGACACCTTCAGATTGAAAGTAAGTGGACAGAGAAATATATATCATGCTACTGGAAGTCAAAAGAAAGCTGGAGTAGTTATACTTATATCAGACAAACTGGACTTTAAAGTAAAGATGGTAACAAGAGATGAAGAAGAGCATTATATAATAACTAGAGGGTCTATCCATCAGGAAGAGCTAACAATTATAAATGTCTACACACTGAATATGGGAGCACCTAAATACATAAAACAATCACAAATAGAAACAATCTTATGGATAAGAATGTGGTAATAGCAGGGGACTTTAATACTCCACTTACAGCAATGGATAGATCAGCGACACAGAAAATCACAAAAGAAACAATGAACTTGAACGACACATTGGACCAGATGGATTTGACAGCTATATTTAGAACTCTACATCCTGAGGCCATGGAATTCACTTTCTTCTCAAGTACACATGGCACATTCTCCAAATAGATAACATACTGGGACATAAAGTAGCCCTCAATAAATATAAAAAATTGAGATCATACCATACACACTTTCAGATCACAATGCTATGAAACTTGAAATCAACCACAGGAAGAAGTCTGGAAAACCTCCAAAAGCATGGAGGTTAAAGAACACCCTATTAAAGAATGAATAGGCCGGGGCGCCTGGGTGGCTTAGTCGGTTAAGCGTCTGACTTTCGCTTGGGTCATGATCTCGCCGTTCGTGGGTTCGAGCCCCGCGTCGGGCTCTGTGCTGACTGCCAGCTCAGAGCCTGGAGCCTGTTTCAGTCTGTGACTCCCTCTCTCTCTGACCCTCCCCTGCTCACGCTGTCTCTCTCTCTCTCCTGGAAATAAATAAAACATTAAAAAAAAAATTAAAAAAATAAAGAAGGAATAGGCCAATCAGGCAATTAGAGAGGAAATTAAAATATACATGGAAACAAATGAAAATGAAATTACAACAATCCAAACTCTATGGGATGCGGCAAAGGCAGTCCTAAGAAGAAAGTACATTGCACTCCAGGCCTATTTCAAGAAATTAGAAAAAGCTCAAGTACAAAATCTAACAGCACATCTAAAGGAACTAGAGGGAGAGCAACAGGAGCCCCCCAAACCCAGTAGGAGAAGAGAAATAATAAAAATCAGGGCAGAAATAAACAATATAGAAACCAAAAAAAACCAGTTGAACAGATCAATAAAACCAAGAGTTGGTTTTTTAAAAAAAATAAACAATATTGACCATCCTCTAGTCAGGCTTCTCAAAAAGAAAAGAGAGAGCACTCAAATAGACAAAATCATGAATGAAAATGGGACTTATTACAACCAACCCCACAGAAATACAAGCAATTATCAGGGAATACTATGAATAATTATATGCCAACAAACTGGACAACTTAGAAGAAATGGACAAATTCCTTAACACACACACACTACCAAAATTCACATGGGAAGGGATAAAAAATCTGAACAAACCCGTAACTAGTGAGGAAAATGAATCGGTTATCAAAAATCTCCCAACAAATAAGAGCCCTGGGCCAGATGGCTTCCCTGGGAAATTCTACCAGACATTTAAAACAGAGTTAATACTGATTCTTCTCAAGTTATTCCAAAATATAGACATCGAAGGAAAACTTCTGGTCTTATTCTACGAAGCCAGCATCACTTTGATATCCAAGCCAGACAGAGACCCAGCCATAAAAGAGAACTACAGGCCAATATCCTTGATGAATATGGATGCAAAAAATCCTCAACAAGATACTTGCAAATCAAATCCAACAGCACATAAAAAGAATTACCCACCATGTTCAGGTGGGATTCATTCCTGGGTTATAGGGCTGGTTCGATATTCACAAATCAATCAATGTGATACATCACATCAACAAAAGAAAAGATAAAAACCATATGATCCTGTCAATAGATGCAGGAAAAGCATTTGACAACATACAGAAATGCTTCTTAATAAACACTCTCCATAAAGGAACTTACCTAAACATCATAAAAGGCATCTATGAGAAGCCCTCAGCTAACATCATCCTCAATGGGGAAAAACTGAGAGCTTTCCCCCGAGATCAGGAACACGACAGGGATGTCCACTCTCACCACTGTTGTTTAACATAGTGCTGAAGTCCTAGCATCAGCAATCAGACAGCAAAAGGAAATAAAAGGCATCAGAATTGGTAAAACAGTCAAACTTTCACTTTTTGCAGATGACATGATACTCTACATAGAAAATCCAACAGACTCCACCAGAAGCCTACTAGAACTGATCCATGTATTGAGCAATGTTGCACGATATAAAATCAATGTACAGAAATCGGTTGCACTTTTATACACCAATAATGAAGCAACCGAAAGAGAAATCAAGAAACTGATCCCATTCACAATTGCACAAAAAGCCATAAAATACCTAGGAATAAACCTAATCAAAGATATAGGAGATCTATATGACGAAAACTATAGAAAACTTATGAAGGAAGTTGAAGAAGAAACAAAGAACTGGAAAAACATTCCATGTTCATGGGTCAGAAGAATAAATATTGTTAAAATGTCATTACTACCCAAAGCAATCTACACATTCAATGCAATCCCAATCAAAATTGCACCAGCATTCTTCTCAAAACTAGAACAAACTATCCTAAAATTTCCATGGAACCACTAAGACCCTAAATAGCCAAAGTAATATTGAAGACAAAAATCAAAACAGGAGGCATCACCATCCCAGACTTTAGCCTCTACTACAAAGCTGTAGTCATCAAGACAGTATGGTATTGGCACAAAAACAGACACATAGACCAATAGAATAGAATAGAGAACTCAGAATTGGACCCACAAGTGTATGGCCAATTAATCTTTGACAAAGCAGGAAACAGTATCCAATGGAAGAAAGACCGCCTCTTTAACAGATGGTGCTGAGAGAACTGAACAGCAACATGCAGAAGAATGAAACTAGATCATTTTCTCATACCATACACAAAAATAAACTCAAAATGGATGAAGGACCTGAATGTGAGACAGGAAACCATCAAAACCCTAGAGGAGAAAGTAGGAAACAACCTCCTTGACCTCCACCGCAGCAATTTCTTACTTGACACATCCCCAAAGGCAAGGCAATCAAGAGTAAAAATGAACTACTGGGACCTCATCAAAATAGAAAGCTTCTGCATGGCAAAGGAAATAATCCATAAAACTAATAGGCAACTGACTGAATGGGAAAAGATAGTTGCAAATGACATATCAGATAAAGGGCTCGTGTCCAATATATATAAGGAACTCATCAAACTCCACACCCAAAAAACAAATAATCTAGTGAAGAAATGGGCAGAAGACATGAACAGACACTTCTCCAAACAGGACATCCAGATGGCCAACAGACACACGAAATGATGCTCAGCATCCCTCCTCATCAGGGAAATACAAATCAAAACCACACTGAGATACCACCTCACACCAGTCAAAGTGGCTAAAATGAACAAATCAGGAGACTGTAGATGCTGGCGAGGATGTGGAGAAATGGGCATCCTCCTACGCTGTTGGTGGGAACGTAAGCTGGTGCAACCCCTCTGGAAAACAGTATGGAGGTTCCTCAAAAACTTAACAGAACTCTCCTATGACCCAGCAATAGTACTGCTAGGAACTGACCCAAGGGATACAAGAGTGCTGATGCATAGGGGTACATGCACCCCAATGTTCACAGCAGCACTCTCAATAGTCAAACATGGAAAGAACCTAAGTGTCCATCAACTGATGAATGGATCAAGAAGATGTGGTATATTTATACCATGGAATACTACATGGCAATGAGAAAGAATGAAATCTGGCCATGTGTAGCAACATGGATGGACCTTGAGGGTCCATCAGGCAGAGAATAAGTCAGGCAGAGAAGGACAGATACCATATGGTTGTATGTATAGGTGGATTAGGAGGAAGTTAACGGAGGACCATGGGGTAGAAGAAGGGGAAAAACAGTTGGGGAGAGGGAGGGAGACAAACTCTTGAATTCTGAGAACAAACTGAGGGCTGATGAGAGTGGGGGGAAGGGAAGGGGGTGATGGGCATGAGGGAGAGCATTTGTTGTGATGAGCACTGGGTGTTATATGGAAACCAACTTGACAATAAACTAAGAAAAATAAATAAATAAATAACATAAACATTAAAAAAAATTCAAAGCACCTATGGATAGTCCTTTGCTTCTCCATACAAGAGTAAGACTAGGAATGCTTTGCTTCATTCTAGGTCAGGCTGCCTGCAGATATAGGACCCTCTCCTTTGCTGCCTTATTGCCAGTTACATTAAATATAGTAAATGACAAAGAGTTTATTAATACTTTACTGTAGTCAATATCCACATGAGTGTATACAATGGCCCCCAAGCAGAAAAAGATTCCACTGAGCCAAGAGATAGCAGTGATTCCATTAGTGACAGTGAAAGTCATTCTACACAATAACCCTCTTCTCTTCTATCTCCCTCACACCAGCCATCAAGGTTTTCAAAATTAAGCACAGGTTAATTTGTTCACTTTTCTTTATATTTTGTATATTCTTTATGATTTTATATTACTGTATAGCAATTATTTTTATATGAATTTTTGGATTGTGGAATGAATCATCTGAGTGTCCATTATTTCTTATAGGGAAATTCACTTTGATATACAAGTGCTTTGGAATACAAGCATGTTTTCAGAATGAATTATGCTTCAAAGCAAGTTTTTGCTGTAATTACTTTCCTTGAGCCAGGATACCAGGAACTAACAAGAGGAAGGAAGAGTAAGAAAAGAGTAGATTTAGGATATCCCACATACAAAAATACATACTTTTAATTAATATGAAAACAGTTTTAAGAGACAATTTTTATGTCCACACTGGAAACAGCTTTTTTAAATTTACTAGGTATGACTCATAAATAATTAAAAGAATAAAGAATTCAAGAGACATCTCTAAAGGTGCTTTGACTGCAAGTCTCCAAAAAAACATATTTAGATACTAGCAGAAAGGTATAGTTGCAATTTCTAAAATGGATCAAAGAAAACAAATTCAGTCACCTCTACCTTTGGTGGCAAAGTGTTATTTTATATATATATATATATGTTCACTCCAAGGTTCTGAGAATATCTACTAACGTATAAACCTATAACCATTGCTCCTGAATCAGGCTCATTTTGGATAGAGGGGTCAACAGTATTATTTTAATGTTTGTTTATTTTTGAGAGACAGACAGACACAGAGTGAGTGGGTGAGGGGCAGAGAGAGGGAGACACAGAATCCAAAGCAGACGCCAGGCTCCAACCTACCAGCACAGAGCCTGACGTGGGGCTCAAAGCCACGAACTGCAAGGTCATGACCTGAGCCTACGTTGAACGCTTAACTGAGTAAGCCACCCAGGCCCTCCACTGGATAGAGGGGTTAAGAGAGAGAATTTGGGGTCAATTGACCTAGATATAACATTGTAATTGTACTTTCTTTTTTTTTAATTTTGTTTATGTTTTATTTATTTCTGAGAGAGAGAGAGAGAGAGAGAGAGACAGCATGAACAGGGGAGTGTTAGAGAGAGAGGGAAATACAGAATCTGAAGCAGGCCCCAGGCTCTGAACTAGCTGTCAGCACAGAGCCCGACACAGGGCTCAAACCCACGAACCAGGAGATCATGACCTGAGCCAAAGTCGGACGCTCAACCGACTGAGCCACCCAGGCACCCCTGCAATTGTACTTTCAAAAAATGAAGAAGAAAAAATTTCAAGAAGAAAATACATTCATTAAAAACATGAACAGTAGCTGAAACTACCTGACACTTACATGGCAAGGTGCCAGAGGGCTTCTCTGGGTTTCTCCTTATGTCCCTTCCATTCCTGACAGATGAATCGTGGGATAGGGTCTGCCTTGCTCCAACACAGAGAATATCTTGGATAGTGGATCAGGTTACTGAACATGTTTCTAAACCTGGGAACTTTTCTCTAATATTAAGACAAGGAGGTAGGGAAGAAAATGACAAAATTTTACCATCAGATTTCCTAAAGCATTTTATTTATTACTGTAAAATTTTTAAAAAGGTACAAAACAGTGACTGTGGCATAGAAAGAAGGGATATTGTATATGCACAGACTATCTCTAGAAAGATACACAAGAAACTGATAACAGATGACTATGAGAAGGGGTCTGGGGGTCAGAATTTACTTCATACTATGTATGCTTTTGAACTACTTGAATTCTTTTAACACAGGAATATGTAACTTTTCGGGGCACCTGGGTGGCTTAGTCAGTTAAGCATCCAACTTTCACTTAGGTCATGATCTCGCGGTTTGTGGGTTCGGGCCCCGCGTCGGGCTCTGTGCTGACTGCCAGCTCAGAGCCTGGAGCCTATTTCAGGGTCTGTGTCTCCCTCTCTCTCTGACCTTCCCCTGCTCACGCTGTCTCTCTCTCTCTCTCTCCTAGAAATAAATAAAAATATTTAAAAAAAAAAAAGGAATATGTAACTTTTTGCACTGAAATAAATTAGGTTATAATGAATCTTTTATTTCCTATTAGTTAATTAATCTTCAGACTGAGCCACAAGTATCAAGATCTCTTGTCCCTAGTAATCATGGCAAAATAATTTCTGCAGAATATAAAATCCACTGGAAATCTGATGATTAGTCAATCTAATCAGTGCAGTTAGCAAAACTAGATGGTTCAAGTTCATCAGGCTGCCTTAGCGAATGAATTAGACCTACCAGTCTGTTTCGAATCAGGTTAGCTTGGATATTTGCCTGTGTGTGGTCTTTCTCACTTGAGATAATAAATAACGGATCTGCAAAATAAACATAAGGTAGTATAAAAAACAGAACATACCTACTCCTGGGGTGAGAATAATAGCAAAACAATGTTTAATTGGGAAACAAATTATAAAAATTAGATACTGCCTAACTCTGCAGCAACTCATAGCCCTGTTACTTATTCTACCACCAGTGAGAGTCTATTAGATACATCTCTTTCAATGTATTCCAAAGTCAGTTTATAAAACTGGAAGGCAAAAAGAAGGCCTAATATGTTCTCAAGCACCAAAGCCTAAATATGCTGTATTCTCTCCAATGAACAAACCAGTTTCTGGGTCTGGGTAGCTCAGTAAATACTCTAAGATGAAAGACCACGTATACACCCACTACATCCATTTGAGAGTGGAAAAAAAAAAAAAAAACCACATCTGGGCACTAATTCATCTATTCAGGACAAAAGAAAGATACAAACTCTTCATAACATGGCACCTCAGAATTGATAAATATAATAAGAAAATGTCATTCTCTAATAAGAGATAAATAAAATCAGCTATAATTCACTCCTTGAATCTGTAAGTATATTGACGATGGGACTAAATTTTTTCTCCAAAGTTCAACAAAAGATTGCCGTTATTGTAAGTATGTGCTTGTTAGACATATCTTTAAAGTGATGAAGAATATTCAAGACTGATTGTACCATCCCTTAAAATTAAACAATAAGACATTAAATTCATAAACGACCTTCAGAAATAGATTTGATTTCCCAAGTATACATCTCTTGAGAAACAATTACCCTGACCAACTAGTCTAGATGACTTGGTAGCATATTTCTTCACAGAAATTAATAATTGGTATTGTGATTTATAAGTAATATAATTTAAATTTAACTTAGATAATGTCAGTTCCTAGAGTCTAATAATTCCTCAGTTACCCAACAAAAACGATATACTGGATACAGACATTTAATATTCCCTCCAAGGTTGAAAAGCTACAAGAGGCTCAAACTCTCTTTCATTCAAGAACAACGGGCTACTATGTTCAAGGTGCTTGGAACACATCAACAAAAAGATAAAGATCCCTGACTTCATGAGTGAGAGAGACAATAAATAACAACATAACAAATTAGCATATTATATAATGCTCGAGTTAGAGGGTATTAAGTGTTACTAAAAAAAAAAGTGGGGAAAGAGCAGGTAAATGGGTATTAGGTTGCAATTTTACACATGGAAGTTAAGGCAGGCCTCACTGAGAAGGTTAACATTTAAGGAAGCTTGCAAATAGGGAGTTAACTATACAGTTATCTGAAGGAAGAGTACGTGAAGCAAAGGAAACAGCTAGAGCAAATGCCCTGGGACAGCAGCATGCCCAACATGTTTGAAGAACGGCAAAGAGACCAACATGATTGAAACAGAGTGAGAGGGGAAAAAAATAGTAAATAAAAGGTCAGGGAAATTGCTAGGACCTAGATCATATGGCACTTTGTGGGCCACTGAAAAGAAGTTGGCTTTAATCTGAGTGAAGTGGAGAACCGCTGCAAGATTTGGAGCCAAGAAGTGATAAAATCTGACTTACATTTTAAAATGTTCATTGTGGCTGTCCATGAAGAAACGACTTCATGGAGGCAACGAAAGAGGCAGGGTGATCTATCAGGAGGCTCATGTAATAAGCCCAGAAAATAGATGATGTTGGTTTGAACCATGGTGGTGGCAACAGAAGTGATGACATAGGGCAGGATTCTAGATATATTTTTAAGGTGGAGCAGAAAGGACTCCTTAACGTGTTGGAATGGTGTGAGTGAGAGAGGGGAAACATGATGGCTCCCAGATTTTTGGACTCAGCAGCTAAAGTATGGGTTTGGTATCAACTGACAAAGGAAAACCTGTGGTGGAGCAAGTGTGTAGGGAGAACATTAGGAAAGCATGCCTTAGGTATTTATTATGTCCAAGCGGAGATACAAAGTAGGCAATTTCATATACAAATCTAGAGTTTGGGAGAAAAGTCTGGACCAGTGATACAAACTTGGGAATCATCACCTGTAGACATTATCTTCTTTAGCTGTACCACTCAAATCCACCTCTATGATTCAAGATGAGAATTAGGAATGGGCTGATTAGGAATGACAAGGCCAGATTTTATGGCCTCAAATAAGAGATTAGTGAATTTGAAGGCAAGATGAATGCGCCTGTTTAAAGGAAAGAAGGCTATAGCTTCAACATGTCTGATATATTGAGAATAGTATTGGACGAAGGTAAACTTCTATTCATACTCTTAGGTGATTTAAAAGATGTCACTGGGTCTATGGTTCCAACTGTGTTGTTCATCTTAAGTGAATTTAGCCTGCATGTCCCCTGACTCTGAATAATAAAGTATAAACCATTCTCCTCTTATTCCTATAAGGAGTATGAAGACATGATCTATAGAAACATTCTTGCCATCTATAATGACACAATACTGTATGATTTATGACTACACATTCTGTAACATATCCTACAACTGTGATCATAATCATTGTTCAAAGGCAATAAAGACCCCTGAGATGCCGAGGTAATGGCACTCACCAAGCATCACTTACCTATTTCTACACAGGTGTTAAGTGCTTTATGTGCAATATTCCATTTAATCCTCACAAAAACCCAATGAGGTAGGCACTAGGCCTCCATTTTATAGGTGAGGAAACTGAGGCTTCAAGAAGTTAACCACTTACTGAAGGACGGTTAGAATGTGAACTCCAATTCTTCTGGCTCCCAGGCCTTATATTATTGAAAGCCCATGAATTTTATAGGGAAAAGTTTCTCATGGAAATCATGAGAAAGCCCCTCAGCCAATTTACCCATCTTGTAGAAACCATTCTAACAAGCCTAGGAAGTTGTCACACGAAGTAATCATAAGAGAGAGGAAGTATTTCAAACCTCAAGACATAATGATTACTTTTAGGAAAAAGTGTAACAAGTTGCATATTCTGGGAGAAATGAGGAAAGAGTTTATGATAAACCTAGAAAGCATTCCAAAACATTTTTGGAAGCTAGAAAAAATAAATATATATTTAAAAGGCTTTAATTATCAGGGCAGTAGTGTAGCTACTAATCCATCAATAAATGTAGATTCAAGAAAGTCATAACATATGGTGGTCACTTCGAGAGACACTTGAGAGACACAAAGGATTTACAAAAAGAAATTGAGTAAATTGCCAAATGGTATATACATGAAGGAAGACCTACTAAAAAAATGTTAACTTTAAAGTACTATACAAATTTAAGGTATATGATTAATATTAACAGCTAGAGTGATCAGAGGAGTAAAAATTACATTTAGTGAAGACACTCAAAACTTCGTGGAGAAGCAAAAGCCTCGCAGACAATTAACTATGGTGAAAAGGCCATTGGGTTTGCGGGGTGTGGGTGCATGAGGAAAAAACTTGGGAAGGTGTTCATGTGTGTATCACTGATCACCACACCTACCCACCACCGTTCTACTTGTCAAGGTGGAAATCTGACCCAAGCCAGTCAACTCATTGGCTGGTCAACAACGTATCTTATTTCTCCAATTTTCAGCTAAGATACACAAGGACTCACAACTGGTGGTGAGCTTTAGGATAAGAGGCCATGTAGACTGCCACCCCAGTCCCTGTCATAGTAAGAAAAATCCATTAACAATTGGTTTTCTGTCAGATCGAAGAAGGAAACATACGCACGGGGAAAAAGCAGGGTTAGAGTTGCCAGATAAAATACAGCATGCTCAGTTAAATTTAAATTTCATATAAGCAATGAATAGCTTTTTATATAAATAGATCCCAAATATTGCATGGGACTAAAATATTAGTTACTTATCTCAAATTCAAATTTAACTGCACATCCTGTATTTTTACTTGCTAAATCTGACAACTAAACATGGTTAAAGAAACAAAAACACAGGTCCAAGAAATCAAGCAGAAGGGACACTACACCTTTGTCCTGACCTTCTTTGTCTTGGTTCTACTTTGTCCTAGCTATATTATGGTTCCTGTCTATTAATAGCTGTGAGACTGCCATTTAATTGGAACAATCCAAACTTTATTTGGCCTGTTTTGAGTGGGTTTCTGTTCCTTGCAAGGGACATGGAAACATTTAGTAATCCCTCTGCAAAAGAAAAAGAAAAAAAATTTGCTTGTCTTAACTAAAGAAGTATATCCCATTCCCAAATTACCTTTGAAACAAATACGGTGATGTGTTTACTGGAGTTTACTGGATTTATTTCACAAGATGAAACCAAGAGTGAATAAAGAAAACCACTGGCCAGAATACATAAAAAACCATTATAAAGTCCCTATACCAGGAAATGGGCAACCTATTGATTGCCAATGAAAGAGGATCCCGGGAATCCCAGAGGAGATAACACATGGTTAAAAGCAATGTAAGGTTCAGGTGAAGAGCATGGGACTGCTAAGGGCAAAATGGGAAAAAATCATGTTTAACTGACTCAAAATTCTTGTAATGGTAAATTCAGTAAACATTTATGAAGCACCTGGCATATGTACCAACACTGGAATAGGTGCTGAGAAGGCTGCAAAAAATATATAAAACAAGAACTTAAAGAACTCAAGGAGCTTCGGGCCCAGTAGAAGAGACAGAACATAATCGGACAAGCTGGGCATTAAAATAAACTAGGGCTGGGGCGCCTGGGTGGCTCAGTCAGTTAAGTGTCTGACTTCGGCTCAGGTCGTGATCTCACAGTCCGTGGGTTCGAGCCCCGTGTCAGGCTCTGTGCTGACAGCTCAGAGCCTGGAGCTCGCTTCAGGGTCTGGGTCTCCCTCTCTCTATGCCCCTCCCCTGCTCACTCTCTGCTTTTGTCTCTCAAGATAAAATAAAGACATAAAAAAATAAATAAATAAAATAAACTAGGGCTATATTGACCCAAAAGAACCCAGTGGACCTAGTTTATAAGCAATGCTGTGATTAATAACAAGTTTAAAAAGAGAGAGCGAAACTAAAAACAAAGGTGAGATAAACTGGTACTTCTTTATCTGTAAAGCCAAATTTGGAGTTGCCCAGAAAATGGGAGAGGGAAGGTCATTTTTGTCTGGCACTTCATACAGTTGGAATGAAGAAATGTTGAGTGAATCTCCAAGTCTGCAAATCGTTGCATACATTTCTGGATAACAAAATACCCAGTACAGGTTTCAGAAAGATTGCTTAAAGTTGTGCAAAGTATCTGGAAAAGGTGGTGGCGAACAGTAAGGCGATTGCGCGCGGTGTTGGAAGACGCAGAGCGCACCTGCGGCTTCCGACGCGGGCGGAAGAGCACCGCCACCTGGGGAGCTCCGCGCCGCTCTCCCCCAACAAAAGCTAACCGCAGTCAGGGGATCGTCCCGAGGCTCGTCTTCCGTTCACCTCGCCCCACAGCCAGGTCCCACCGACCCGAGGCACACCTAGGCCACAGTCGACAACTCTGGAAGGAGGTCCGGTGCCGCCCTTACCGTACAGAAAATCATACGGTCGACTGGAGGAGACTTTGCCCCAGGCCCCCGACTTCACCCCGCACCGGGTTTGAGACACCAGCGGGTTGACCTGGGGCTCTTCGATAGTCACTGCGTGGCTCATGGTGTCGACTCTTCCCTCCGGTCAGCTGGGTACCTCCTAGAAAAGCCTAGCTGTTGTGTGCACGGTAACTATGGAAACCTCAGCCAGAGCTCTGAGAGAAGGGGCGGTGCGAGGAGCAGGACAGGAAGGTCCGTGAGAATGCATGGGGCGGGGCTTCAAACGGAAGGGGCGGGGTTTGTGTGGGAAAGAACCAGTAAGGTGAAGGAAAGGGAGGGGTGGGGCGAGGCGCCGGAAGGGAACAAGGGGGCAAATGGGAGGGGAGGGCGGAGGAGCTTGAGGTTGTGTGAGGCGGAGAGAAAAGGAAGATGGAAAAGAAAGGGCTGTCTTGAGGAGGAAGGGCGGCGGCTGGGGAAGAGCGTCCTCACTTCCCACTGCACTCCCAAGACTACCGTGAGCCCTTATCCGCCAGCCTTGTGTCCTCACCCGGAGGCCGGCCGGAGGCTGCTCTTCAAATCCAGCAGCGATCTGACAATTACAATTCTTAACTCTTTCGGAAATCCCTGGGAAATCTCAACCTTCTAGAATAGTTAGGGTTTTTCATTTCGGACATCCCCTTCCCGCGGCGCTTGTTCTGCTTTTGAAACTATTAAGGAAAAATTTTAAATAGGCAAAAGTAAATCCACTTTTATAACCCTCATGCACCATCGCCAAGAGTCAACAATTAACATTTTGCCAACATCTAGTTTTATCCCCTTGCCTGCTCTGTGTTTAACTATTTTGAAACAAATCCCAGACTTTTTACCCTTAATCTGCATCTCAAACTGGCATGGATTTTCTTAATTTCACCACCATTATCACCAGTAACAAAATTAGTAATTCCTTTGTATCATCTAATACTAGATACATATTCAAATTAACCTGGCTGAATCCAAAATGTCATTTAATAGTTAGGTTTTTTATCCGATTAAAAGATTTTTATTTAAGTTTTTACGTTGCATTTTGGTATGTCTCTTAAGTCTTATCCTAGAACAATAGATTTCTTATACTTTTCAATGATTTTCTTTATTACCTGGGATTCTTCTATAAACTTTCTCTCACCACTCATTGGTTATCATGAAATACAGGGATCCTAGAAGAAAGGCTTGATAAATGCTGGGGTTTTTCACTTTAATTATAAAATGTCAGAGAAATTAGTTGGTCCCCTAGCAACCTCCAATGTTAACCAGTAAGGTTTTGTTTAGTATCATTAGCATTGCATACATTTTACATCCATTATTTTTATTTATGTGTTTTAATCCATTATTATTTATGATGCTCAAATTATCCTGTTAGGCTAGTGGCACACTTTAGAGTTGACTTCTTTGTCCTTTTGATGTGATCCATAGACACTTATAAACCTTCTGGCCTGCTATCCCTCTTTCTGCACATACTCCTGGTTTTGTTTACTCCTAAACATCTTGGGGTTTTTGCCAACTAGCCATATACTTTGTCACTCCCAAGTCTTTGCTCAAACTGATTCCTTTGCCTAAAATGCTTTTTCCTATTTAGGCACTCCAACTAATTTAGGTCTCTGTGAAGACTCAGTGTTAACCTTACTATATTTATGTAGTTTCCCCAAATCCCCCAAATAGAGTGAGTCTTCATCCTTTCTTCAAGTGCTATAGTAACACCAGTATCATGGCATTAGTAATTGTTTGCAAGTCTCCTGCACACACCTGTGAGTTCATTGTGGCTACAGGCCTTCACATGGTCATTTTGTATCTCTGAAGCACCTGGTAAATAAAAGCTTAATAAAAGGATTCCTAATGAATAAATCCATCCATTTATTAAACAAAATTACTGTTGGGGTACCTAGGTGGCTCAGCAGTTGACTTCAGCTCAGGTCATGATATAGTTCCTGGATTTGAGCCCGGCATCAGGCTGGGTGCTGACAGCTTAAAGCCTGGAGCCTCCTTCAGAGTCTGTGTCTTCTTCTTTTTCTGCCCCCCTATTGCTGGTTTCTCTTTCTCTCTCTGTCTCTCTCTCAAAAATAAATTTTAGGGGCGCCTGGGTGGCTTAGTCGGTTAAGCGTCCGACTTTCGCTTGGGTCATGATCTTGCAGTTCGTGGGTTCGAGCCCCGCGTCGGGCTCTGTGCTGACTGCCAGCTCAGAGCCTGGAGCCTGTTTCAGCCTGTGACTCCCTCTCTCTCTGACCCTCCCCAGCTCACGCTGTCTCTCTCTCCCCTAAAAATAAAAATAAAAACATCAAAAAAAATAAAATAAAATAAATTTTAAAAAAACACAGTTTACTGTCTACTATAAAGTAGATATTAAAGATTCTGAGATACTTTGTACAGCTCATTAGGTGATGGAGAAAACAGACACAGAAACAAATAAAATACAATGTTGTAACGGCATGATAATATTTTTCTGTCATTACTATATTTCTACTTTCCGTCCATTCTTCCCAGAATGCTCCTCAACCCTGGCCCTCCATCTTCCCCCTGCTGACTCCTCATCATTTGAGTTCTCAGCTAAAATGTTCCCTCAGAAAGACTTTCCTTACTGAATCACATAAATTAATCTTAGGTAGCCAACAACCTGCCCCCTCCATAAATACATTGGAAGACATTAACCAAGAAATATGTCAAATGTGATGAGATGTGTGACTATGTGACTATGTGATTATCTTATATAATCTGTACTGGCTATTTTAGAAGAGTTGCTCACTCTCTCCCTTGCTGGGAGGAAGCAAGTAGCCATTTGGGGACTCCATATAGAAAGAAACTGAGCCTTCTGGAGCTGAGGGCAGCCTCCAACCCACAGCCAGCAAGAAACCAAATCCTTCAATCCTACAACTGCAAGAAATAGAATTATGCCAACAATTTAAGTGAAATTAAGAGCATATCTTTCCCAGGGAATCTGGGTGGCTCAGTTGGTTGAACATCCATCTCTTGATTTCGGCTCAGGTCATGATCTCATGGATCATGAGTTCAAGCCCAGAATCAGGCTCTGCATTGACAGTGCAAAGCCTGCTTGGGATCCTCTCTCTCCCCCTCTCTCTCTGCCCCTCCTCTGCTCACACTCTCTAAATACATACATTTAAAAACAATTACATACATACATACTTAAAAAAATCCTTCCCCATTAGAACCTCAGATAAGACCACAATTTCATCCAAGGTCTTGACTGTAGTCTTGTGAGACCCTGATCAGAGGAGCTACTTAAGCCGTGCCTAGATTCCTAACTATAAAAACCTGAGATAAAATGTTTATTACCACTAGATTTTTGCTAATATTGCCACACAGCAAGAATTAACTAATGTGGAATCTTTATGAAATTACATTCTGCATCTCGTGGTAACTTTGATAATGCAGAGAAGTGTAAGTTAATAAAAAAAATCCATGTTGGGAGAAAGTTGGCTGTGTTTCTGCTTGTCTTGTAAGGGGGATGCTGTCTGCCCTGTTCCTTTGTGTAGGAAACAACCTTGGACAATAGGGATAGTGTCCACTTCTGGAGCAAAAGGTGGGTTTGCTAACAGCTTTAGAATTCAGATGATCTCCGTTTGAGCAAAGGGCAGACATTCTAACTGCCCATTATTAAAGACTGGGGTTTCCTAATCTCATTATTTTTTTCCTGTAATGCAACCCAGTGTGTATGCAGATGTCATCTGGCCTTATTTACATCACTTTGTGGCAACTGGGGCTCAGAGAACTGGCACAGAAATGCTGATACATTGCTGCTACGGCTGTTAAGAAGTAAATTATCCTTAATCTCCAACCTAGCAGTTGGCTGGCTTCTATTAGCATTCGTGGGACTGTGGTAGGAAAATAGGGTAAAATTTCAAACCCTTCAGAGTTCTTGAAAAGCTATAGAGCATGATGTATAAGCTCATATTTAGCTGTGAAATTTGGAAATCTCCCCTCCCCCTGCTTCCCAGAGGAAGAAATGTAAATACTATACAAAATCACCTCTGAACTTATTAACTAGGGAAGTGAGAACTCAGGCCTTGTAATTCTTCTCTCTCGGCATATGGTGTCACTCCTCTACCAACATCAACTATCCACCCTTGCTTGGTGAAGTCTCCACACCTGGAATTAGTTAGGTGTGAAAAGTACTTTCATCATGGAGGTATTTTAGAAAGTATTTCCTTAGTTGTTGCTTGTTACATTACTAGAGCTATCATCCACGGAATGACTGCTTGGTGCCATTCATAGGTGATGTTTCCATTCAGTACTTCACAATAACATACTCACTGTACTATAAAAAAGTCCATTACAGTCACCATTTCAACTCTTTCTGCCTACTAATAGAGCAATTACAACAGCACTGGCAAAGAGCCCCAGGGGCTTAAAATAGTAAAGTATTGCTGATTATAATCAAAACTGGGAAGCGAGAATGTGATATGAAAGGTACTAATCAAACCAGCCTCTGAGTTGCCTCTGTAAAACAGATGGTTAAATCTAATCTTTTTTTTTTTTCCAATTTAAATCCAAGTTAGTTAACATATAGTGTAGTCTTTAGTCTTGGCTTCAAGATTCATCCGTGATTCATCTCTCACATAAGACACCCAGTGCCCATCCCAAAAAGTGCCCTCCTTAGTGACCCTCACCCATTTAACCCATCCCTCCACCCACCTCCCCTCCAGCAACCCTCAGTTTGTTCTCTGTATTTAAGTCTCTTATGGTTTGCCTCCCTCTCTGTTTTTATCTTATTTTAGTTTCCACATGCTACCTACTCTCAATTTAATCTCTAATTACAGCTCTCTAAAATTGTGTTTTTCTTGGAGGAAGTGAGTTTTTGAGATTTTTCTCGGGGGAGAATGGGAAACATTAAATGTCATTGTTTTATACACCTACGTTTCCTTTAATACTACTAAGGCTATCTATCCTGTTGCTGGGTAGACTCCCGGACCCAGCGCCCTGGGTCTGACCCAGCCAGACCTGAAGGAGTTGCCGAAGTTTCTTGGTCCTGTGATGAGAATGAATTCAAGGACATGCACACAGCATAGTGGATGAGTAACAGAAGCAGGAAAGTTTATTAAAGCAAAAAGTACACTTTGGAGATGCGAGAGGAAGAAAGAAAGCGAGAGCGATGAGTGCCCTGTGGGTTTGAGTGTCTGTTTATTAACCTTTGTTAACTAGTAGTCAGATATTTATTACTTGGGATGGGAAACAGTGTTTCATGTTTTTGTTCCTAATTTGGTCAGGGGTTTCCCGAAACACATCCACCACCTTGGGCCAGTCTTGTTAGATCCGGCTTCTTGCGGGGTGCTGCCAGGACAGGCCTCTGACTTTCCCAACAGCTGGCCATGACTTCCTCCGTGCTGGCCTCCAGGTGCCCTGTTAGAACCTAGCTAATTGCCTATTCTAACAATCCCACAAGTCTAAAGACATTTAGACTGAGTAAGAAAAGTAAAGAATGATGTTAATATAAAACCAATCATTAAACTTAAAGCTTACCTCTTCATAAATTAAAAGGCAGAAGAAAAAGTAACCTACATGTGTGGGGTAGCTGTACCATTCTGAAAGGAGAGGCAAGTAGCCGGACATAAACAACTAAATATTTTACCTTGGAAAGGAATACCTTTTGGTCCTTTTTTTCAAGGGCAGGAGAATATTCCATCCTGAAGAAGCAGTTGTTGGAAGGTTTTAAGAGTCACAGTGCTCATGGAGGAAACTAAGAGATTGTTAATATCTTGAACACAGCTCATTAAAGTGAGGGCAGGGTAAGAAGGGGCTGTCACCCAGTGGCTTTGCCTGAGGCCTGCCAATACTAGCTTACCCTGGAGAGAGTGTTGTCCCTGCAGTACCCTTTCTTCACTGAAACGAGCAAGGAAGGTGGTCAAGAAAAATCTTTTCTTAATTGCAGAAGCTTTTTCATTATTTTGATCTATAATTTGCCTACACTTTACCTCAATCCTCTTCAACTCCCTAACTTCTCTTAGATATTTCCTTCTCTTTTCTTCCTTGTTAATTTTCTAGGCACAAAAGTTCAGCAGCACATTAAACGTAGATCAATGATTGATTTAAAAATAAGAAATATTGGGCATCTGGGTGGCTCAATCGGTTAAGCATCGGACTTCAGCTCACGTAATCTCGTGGTTCTTGAGTTCGAGCCCTACATTGGGATCTGTACTGACAATATAGAGCCTGCTTAGGATTCTCTCTCTTCCACTCTCTCTGCCCCTCTCCCATTTTCTCTCTCACTCAAAATAAACATTAAAAAAAAATGTTCACCATACATTTGACAAATTAAGTGGGATAGCAGAAAGCTCACAGATCTTAGAGGGAGAAGATGCTGAGTCTTAGGCCTGCCACTTACATGTTAGGTGACCTTGAACAAATCTTTCCCATATCTCAGTGTTCTCATCTATAATGTAAATAATGAGCTCAACGGCTGTGAACATTAAACAGTGGTTCACAAATTCATCAGATATGGAAGACACTGCAGCTGAAGATTATGCTGTTATTCTAACTGCTCATGTATTCTAAGTGAGCACTTTTTAAAAAATCTGGGTTGGGGGAAGCTGGGTGGCTCAGTCAGTTAAGCATACAAATTTTGGTTTCAGCTCAGATAATGATCTCATGGTTCATGAGATTGAGTCCTGTGTGGGTTATGTGCTGACAGTGCAGATCCTGCTTAGCATTCTCTTTCCCCCCTCTCTCTGCCACTCCCCACTTGCACTGTCTCTGTGTCTCTCAAAATAAATAAATAAACTTTAAAAAAATAAAAATCTTTTTTAAAGATAAAGATTTTCACTTATGATGCGAGAAAAACTCTCTAAAGAACTGACAGACAAGGAAAGTCATTTTAGATTTCTTTCTAAGTTAGCATGATGGTATATAAACTTTGTCCAAACCAAAAGCCTGATTTATATAGCCTGCCATACATGCATTGTACATCTGCTTTGTGAATGAGTAGCCTAAAGGAAAACCCATCTTTGTTCTTGAGATATCAATGTTCCTATTTTCTGCATTCCTTTATGATAAAATTCATGATTCCTGCCTATATGCTAATCTATCACCTTTTGAGCTTTTACAAGATGTAAAGAAGTATCTACCCTTTACATTGTTATGGATTGAAAGAAGTATCAATTTTTACATCGTAAAAATTGTTCATTCTCCAGAGTACTTTGTTTCCTATGAAGAACGTGTTTCCTGAGCAGCTATCCTAACTAGGGCTCAAATAAAACTCTCCTTTTTACTTTTAGAGATTCTAAAAGTTTGTTCAATTTGTGTTGACAAAATTTGTGCTTTTGAAGTGTCATCAAATGCATACCACCCCTCAGTATAAAGATAACCTCTACCAACTTTATATTAATGTATTTTGGAGTCTTAAGTAACAGAGACATGCTATTAGGGTTGGGATGATTTTTTTAAAGATTTTATTTTTACGTGATCTTTACATCCAATGTGGGGCTCAAACTCATAATCCCAAGATCAAGAGTCAAACACTCCACCAACTAAGTCAGCCAGGCACCCTTAAAGTTGGGACGATTATTTCATAAAAAGAGATAAGCCCCTCTGCTGTCACTATCTTTCATTGATTCCTTAGTTTGACCTTTCCCATGTAGACCTTTAAGGCATCCAGAGCCCCACACTTTTTCTTCAGTTCGTTCAGCCATGTTTATTGTACATTACCTTCCCAAGGGATGTTGATGTTGCTAGTCCAAGAAGCACTGTTTCACTAGTAAGATACTAAATAACAGTAGCAAACATCTAGTTTAAAGAACTGACAATAGTAGTTTAGGAGAATATAAGGACAACATGTTGCATTTATTAAACATATCAATCCATAATGAAGTAAAAATCATGCTTATTAAGTTTTTGGATGACAGAATGGGGATGTTTTATAACTTGGAAAATACACACAGAGAAATTACTACTATATAGCACCAGTTCACAGCCCCCGCCCCAGGTGGCTCACATGGTTAAGCATACAATTCTTGATTACAGCTCAGGTCATGATCTTGCAGTTCATTGGTTTGAGCCCTGCCTTAGTTTTCTGCGCTAAGTGTAGAGTCTGCTTGGGATTCTCTCCTTCTCTCTCTGCTCCTACCGCACGTGCATGCTCGCTCTCTCTCTCTCTCTCAAAAAAAAAAAAAAAAACACCAAAAACAAAACAGTATATAGTAGTACCAGTTCATAGACATACATATGGATTCCCTGAGCAAAATCTCTGAAATACAGAAACAAACCTTGGTTAGGTGACACTGAAAGTTTGATTACCCAAAATATACAAGGAAGCTGTTTGAACTAGTTTAACTATGAACTAAACTCCTGCTTTAAAAAATAAGTTCAGGGGTGCCTAGGTGGCTCATTCAGTTGTGTAACTGACTCTTAATTTCAGCTCAAGTCATGATCTCAGCAGTTGGTGTGATAGAGGCCACCTCCAGCTCTGTGCTGACATCGCAGGGCTTGCTCGGAATTCTCTGTCCTCTCTCTCTGCCCCTCCACCCACTTGTGCTCTCAAAATAAATAAATTTTAAAAAATAAGATAAAAAATAAGTTCATTCCTTCTCCCCAACAATTCTCTGCGTGAAAGAAATCCCCACAACTGCAAATAGTAGGCGCCAGTTTACTCATATACCTAATTGAATTCAAGAAATGCCAAGGAAAAGCCATTTTTCAATTTTATTAACTGGTATATTTGCCCTATGATTGAACAATTCCTATTGAAATAAAATCAGAAAGGGAGCTATAAAATAGTGTATTGGATAGGTATATGAGAATTTTCCCCCCAAACTAGTGGACTGGATTGTTCAAAGCTCTCTGCTAATCATTTTTAACTAAACCAGAAAAATAAAAAATCAGAGATAGCGGTGGGGGCGGGGAGGGAGGGGAAGGCAAATAATACTCGAGCATGAAATATGCAGAACTAATCTGTTACTCAAGGGTAACTAGCTTTCACTAGTGTTTCTCTTGTTTAAGGTGGCCAAGTCATTTCACCTTCTTGGGCTTCGGTTTCCCACTGGTGCATTGAGAGGTTAAAAGATATGAGTTATCTCACTACTGGCCTCGTTTTCCAATCTTCCCCCAGTTGATTGACGAACTCTGTTTGCCCTTTCATCCCGCCCCTGCGCCTGCGCGAAAGAAGCGCCCTTCATTTAGGCCCTCTGCGCACGCGCCATTTTTAATCTTTTTCTCCTCCCTCTCCCCCCTCCCCGACTCCTCCTCCGTCTGAAAGAGGCAGGACTTCCTGTCCCTTGGCGAGCCACTGCCGGAAGTGGCTGAAGGCAAATCGGCATTCGCCGAACCCGGTAGAGATTACGGTGCCTGTGCTAGTTGCTGGTTTAGGCTTGAAAGATGCCTGGTCTGGCGGCTGCAAGCCCTGCCCCGTCTGAGTCACAGGAGAAGAAGCCGCTGAAGCCCTGCTGCGCCTGTCCGGAGACCAAGAAGGCGCGCGATGCTTGGTCAGTGCGCAAGCGGGGAAGGGGCGGCGGGCAGGCCTGTGTGCTGCCTTCCGGTACCTCCGTGCCCTGCCCGGCCTTGGGCGTTCATTGGTACTGCCGTTTTGAGAGGTAGAGGGCCCTGGACCCTTTGGGTCTCCTGTCTGTTGACCGACTCCGTAGCCCAGCCCCGAAAGATGGATGAGGGGTTAGGATAGAGGTCCGATTGAACCGGGCTCGCTTCGTACACGTACTCGTAGGGTTTTTGAGCATCTGTTATGTGTCAAGCACTGCCTTAGGTCACTAAAGACAGATAAAGATGCTACTTGATTTAAAGAAGCTTAAAGTTAATGGAGATACTAATGATTGCTATTACCACGTGGTATGTATGGGCTATGGTAGAAGATTTGGCAAGAAAAAAATGTAAAAGTTTTCTGGTAAAATTTTGGCATAGTAGGACACGGTACATTACTCAAATACTGAAAAGCTCCCCTTACTTCTCGCCCCCGCCCGCCCCTCCCCCCTTCCGCGAGGTGGATTAAAAATCAGACGGTCTATGACATAGGTGACCATGTTCAGAATAGTACATCTGAATTTCTGTCAACCCGCAAAAGGTTTTGTTTTCATTCTATACAGCCACTGTTGTGGAACAAATCTCATTGGGGGAAATGCTCAGAAAATGTGAATTGTACACCTCTCTCTCCAACCCTTTTGTCCTCAAATATAATCACAAGTGGCATAATGGGGTCAAGAGTTGTAGGAACACAGTGCTTTTTATTAATAGTCAGTACTTTGCAAATAATACTGTGAAGGGAGAATTGAAAAAATACAATCTGATACTGAAATTGCTTTCGTAGTTAACAGTAAATGCTTATTGAATCTAAAGACAGTAATGGTGTCATGACTAAGAACCTGGAATCCAGAGTCAAGGTTTGAATCTGGTCCATCAGTTTTGTGACCTTGAGTAAATTATTTAACACACCTGCCTCCTATGTCTGTAAAATGGGCCTAATTAAAGTGTCTACCTCTAGGATTCCTGTAAGGTTTAATGATACAAGCCTAACAGAGTATTCAAAAGATGATCAAGGAATACTAGCTATTATCTTCACCAAACATTCATTCACTTGCAATGAATGAACTATTCATTGAGCTATTGAAGGATGTGTAGGATTTATTTAGATCTTTAAAGAAGGAGAACCTATCCTTCAAATTGCTTTTACATTAATTATCTCAGACTACTATGCCAAAATATCTATAGTCAGGAGTTAGCCTTGTAATTAAATTTGGCTTAACTTGATCTTTGCTAAAAGTAAATTTTCAGGCCTTAGAAATAAAAGATGTGTGGTCCTAGTTTTTACTTTGTGTAAAAAGTTCTTTGATCATCGTGAGGGAGGCTCATCAGGCTGCTGTTGACTGCCAGATCTTGCTGTTTATATCGTTAGGTGTATTATGATTAGAAGGAGATTTATTTATCTATTTGTAGAGCAGAATGAAAAATTTAATTCCTCTGTGATAGGCAAAATATTCAGTTCCTCTCTCTGTCCTTCATTTAACATAAGTATTGTATTCAGGGGCACCTGAGTGCCTCATTCGGTTAAGCTTTGCCTTGATCATGATCGCATGGATGCAGATCACATGGATGCGGCTCTGTGCTGACAACTCAGAGCCTGGAGCCTGCTGATTCTTTCTCCTCTCTCTGCCCCTCCCCCACTCACACTCTGTCTCTCAAAAAAGAATAAATGTTAAAAAAATGTTTAACATAAGTATTGTATTCAGATGATTAATTTCATTAGAGAATTGTATTGTTCCTTGGATATTAACTAGCGCAATATTTGATACACATAATTATTTAACTCCAGCTACATTCCACATTCCATGGGATCCAGGTTCTGCCTCAACACACACACCCCCTACTGTCATGCATACTTACTATTAATATGCTGATGCCTACTTTGTTAGATAACAAGTACATTTTGTTTTATAGCATCATTGAGAAAGGGGAAGAGCACTGTGGACACCTAATTGAGGCCCACAAAGAATGCATGAGAGCCCTGGGATTTAAGATATGAAATGGTGAGCATGATACTTTCTGATTGGGAAGATAATACACAGGCTTATGTTTTCAAATTTGTGCTTTATAGATTTAGCAGTCACCAGAGAATATTCTATACAAAAAGTAATTCACCTGGTTAATCTAAGATGCTTAAGTATCACTTAAAAATTAATTTTCAGTTTCTAATGTAGGGAGTAAATGTTGCTAATAAATTGAGAATCAGAATCATTCAGTGGATTTAGGGAGGGGAGAATGTATCTTTCAAAAAGGGGCTTGATAAAAGCCTTTAGAGTTGGAAGGAATAATGGTTTAGGAAGTTCAAAACATTCAGTTGTCTGACTTAAAAGAACTAAAAGGAAAATATTCTTTATTCCTTGTTTCTGATGTGGGTCTTTAGTAAGAGCTTTTAAATAGGGAGTAGGCAGTACATGGAATCATTGCCTTCTGCAAAAGAAAAATACAATTATTGCTATTTCTTTTGTATTACCATGCTTCTAATACTACTAAAACCTCAGACTTTTTTTTTTTTTTAAAGAACTGTAAATCTAAATTTTAATGCTGAAAGAGACCTTAAGTTATGTGTATACAATTATACTACAAATAAATGATCTTTTGTTTGGAAATCTTTCTTCAGATAGCAACTTAACCCATTCTTTCACTTCATTCAGGTCTCTGTTCCATAGTCTCCTCATGAGAGATGCTTTTACTTAGCATTCCATCTGAGATAGCATCCCTTCCCCATCACTCTGTCCCAGCACGATCCAGTAGAACTTTCTGTGATAATGAAAATATTCTGTACCTTCACTCTCCACTGTGGTAGCCACTAGCCATATGTGGCTACTGAGCCCTTGAAATGTAGTAGTAAAACTGAAGAACTGAATTTTTAGTTTTATTTAATTTTAATAGTCACATAGGGCTAGTGGCTACTCTCAACATCACTGCTGGCATATTAGGTATTTATTTCTCCATTGTTTTACTGCAACTACAATGTGAGCTCTGAGAAAGTAAGAATTTTCTGTTTGGGGTGCCTGGGTGGCTCAAGTCAGTTGAGCATCTGACTCTTGAGTTTGGCTTAGGTCATGATGTCCCAGTTTGTGAGATGGAACCCTGAATCATGCTCTATGGGGGACAACTCAGAGCATACTTGGGATTCTCTCTCTCCCTCTCTCTTCACCGTTCCCCTGCTTGCTCACTCTCTTTCTCTCTCTTAAAATAAATAAACATTTTTTTTTAAAACATGGGTACTAAGAAGGGCATTTGTTGTAATGAGCACTGGGTGTTGTATGTAAGTAATGAATCACTGAATTCTGCTCCTGAAACCAATATTGTACTGTATGTTAACTAAAATTTAAATTAAAAAATAGATAAAATTTTGAAAACATACTGGTTTTCTAATAGGAAAAAAAAAACACCAGAATTTTCTGCTTTACTTACTGTCATATTCCCAGGACCTATAAGAATGCCTGTCACATAGTAGGTGCTCAACAGAGGACTGTTAATTAAATGAATATATAAATGAGGAACTAAGGCCTCTAGGTACGGAATGACTTCCAAGGTAAGTTAGCAGGACCGATCTGGATACCTCTGGCTCCATGCAGATTCCTTCTGCCTTTTGCCCACCCTTCCCACTGCCCAACATCTATATCACACTGCCACTTTTAACTTAATAATAGCTGAGAGATAATGCCAAAGTCATGTACCAATATAACTGGTAATAGAGGCCCTGGTTTCTGTCCCTTTCACCTCTCTCCTGCCTCTTTAGAATTTCATACATAGCTAGTCTTCCTCATTGAGCTATAAAAAAGGATAGATAAGGAACCTGTTTCAAGCTGATAAGAACTATCACTATGTAGTAGAAAATACTCTAGGCCGAAAGTCCTGAGGCTTAATTTTGATTCTTCTGATGCCTGCTTAGCATGTATTTTACTTCAGCTACATTTAACATTCATCAATACATTAATCCTCTGTGGATTTCACTTTTTTAATTTATAAAAAGATCTATAACATATTTTGTGATTTTATATATAGTATGGTATATCTACTCTGTGTGTACATGACGTACTTAAGTGGTTTTTAGATTACAGGGTTATTTAAAGATATCCCATAGTGAATCATTTTGTGAAATAAGTAAGTTTAGGTGTATGTGGGGTGAGGGGTGTTCTTTAAAAGTATAATTATACATATTGATTATTTTTAAAGACCTAGAATCTCAACATTTGTACACAGTTTCCTTGTTCATATTCTTATTCTTTTCCTAGGCAGTTGTATAAAGTGTTGGCTAGTGCCAAGCCTATCTTAATAAAAAGGGTGATTTTTTAAAAATGCTAATTCTAGGAGCATCAGAAGCATCTCTTGGACTTCATGTCGACCACAGAGGTGCTACAGCTATTGTCATAATTAGCACAAATTCATCAGGACTAGAGGATATCATAGGGGTTTTTTTTTTTGTTTTTTATTGAGACAAAGTGAGAGTGATTCCTATGCACTTCATTTGTGTGTAAAAGAAAATGCAAGAGCTTTGGAATTAGAAAGCCTGGTGTTTGACTGATTGTGTGGTCTTGGGCAAGTCCTTAATTTTCTGAACCTTGGTTTACTTCAGAGAGTCATTGTGATAATTAAATGACAGGTGTACGAATAGAATTTGTAAACTATCAAATGGAAGCCGGAATGGAATAGCCCATATGTTGGGAGTTGTGGATAGCAGATACCCAATTGAGGTCTGTTGGATGTATGACCTGATTATGTATTTTTGAATCCCAGTTACGTCAAGAACAATCTGAATCCATGTGGGGTCTTTCTTAGAATTCAGATGTGAGGTTTTCATTTTCAGCATACTATTACTTTTGAAAGAGGAACAGGTGTTTGGATCTGCTTTAGTCCCAGGTATCGTATTTCCCCAACCCCCACTGGGAAATGGACAGACAATGAAGTGAAAAAAAGACGTAGCCAAATTAAGAAAAGATAGCTGGTAGAATTAAAACTAGAGTCTAGGTCTTTTATGTTCTCCAAAGCACGAACGCTTTACACTTCATTCCTTGCACTTAATGAGATCTGGGTTGCCAGCCTACTCATTTTTAGGACTGCACATAGTTTTGATTTTCAATCCTAAAACTTTATTATGAATGCAAATTAGAAAGACCTATTGCTGAAATGTGTAGGTATATATAAGTCAGTAATCAGTTCATTGGCTGTAAAATCCAACACTACTGTCTACATTGTTATAAGATAAACCGAACTAAATTGGTATCTCTTAGACTATTAGACCACATTTTTCTTATAGCTTCAAAGGAAAAATAGTTTTGCAAACCTAGATCTTCCCAGTAATGATCATGATCGTTCCTTACTTCAACAACCTTTGTAGATCTTAATGTTATATCCTAAATAAGACCGGTCTTCATTGTACCTTGAATTTAGTAGACTGGGATTTAATATAGATGTAGGCTACATTCAGCCAGAGGTGCACCTTATAATCACCTGAGAACTGTTTTTCCAAAATTCACAAGCCCTGTGCCCTGATCTGCTCCTGTTGACTCAGAAACTCCTAGATAACTTTTAGGTGCACCCTTTTTAAGGAACCATTGGCTTAAGCTGAAGAAGTAGCAGGGATATTGCTAAGTATAAACTAAAGATTTAATAGTAGCAGAGGCAGAGACTTGAAAACTGTGTCCAAGGAAAAATAGGTGTGTGATGGTGGTGATTCTAGACACTTTCTTCTATCTTATGACTATTTCTTTTACCGAAAGAGAAACTAAAGGAACCTAAAACCTACTTAGAAATGTTGAAAGAGGGGGTGCCTGGGTGGCTCAGTTGATTAAGCATCCAAATTCAGCTCAGGTCATGATCTCATGGTCAGTGAGTTCGAGCCCCATATTGGGCTCTGTGCTGACAGCTCAGAGCCTGGAGCCTGCTTCAGGTTCTGTGCCTCCCTCTCTGCTCCTCCACCACTCATGCTCTGTCTCTCGCTGTCTTTCAAAGATGAATAAATGTTTAAAAAAAATTTTTTTAATTTAATTTTTTTTTTATATATTTATTTGTAGGAGAAAGAGAGAGCATGAGCAGGGGAGGGTCAGAGAGAGAGGGAGATACAGACTCTGAAACAGGCTCCAGGCTCTGAGCTGGCTGTCAGCACAGAGCCCGACGCGGGGCTCGAACCCACGAAACACGAGATCATGACCTAAGCGAAAGTCGGATGCTTAACCGACTAAGCCACCCAGGCGCCCCTGTTAAAAAAATTTTTTTTAAAAAGACATGTTAAAAGAGGAACATTAACAGCTAGTGTCTTTCTGCCTTTAGGAGTCAGAAGGAACCTTGAGAACCCAGTTTGGGGCTGAAATCCTTGAAAGAAATGAAAGGACTAGCACCAGGCAGTGAAGATACTCAGTATTTACTATTTAATAAAACTTAATAGTTGGTTAAAGTATGCTTAAAATATGCTGATTTCACATACACACATACAAATGATTATGTATGAAAATATCCCAAGAAAATCCAGCAGAAGTATCCTTTCTTGCTATTTAAACATTTATTCAATAGCTACTTATTGTTTAATACCCTAGAAGATGCCAGCATAAGAAAGACCGGGTCTCTTCTGTCAAGGACTTTACACCCAGATATATAACCAAACGTTTATAACCAGAGGCTTTCAGGAGTAGCTCCTCCTGGAATATAGTTAGTGGCAAAAAGGGTAACAGTGCTGTGGACTGCTGTCTTTACAATGTTGAGTGGCTTTATTTTTGGTTATCTTTCCTCTCAAACCTTTCCTTAAGTGTATTCATCTGTTTAGCCTGTTAGAAAACAGAGTTTAGATGTTTGTATTGTTGATCAGGCTTATCTTTTCTAAACCACATGCAGGGACTAATAGCTAGATGAAGGAAGCACGGTCATTGGACTTGAAGATTTGGCTAGCCCAGATCACTTACTTACCTTTTGAAGCATTGTTCTCTCCCTTCTGGGATAGGGACTGGGAGTGAGGGTGGGTGAGAACTGTTTGGAGAGAAGCCTGGTACTGATTGACTTAGATCAGCAACCCTATCCTCTCCTACTCTCTCTTTTTGATTTCTAAATGGATTCAAAAGCATTACCCTTATTTTGCCCTGGGGATAAAGTGAGTAACTTTCCACAGGAAGCACCTTGTATACAGAGCTGACCTTTTGCCTTCCACTTCGTGGATCTGTGCCAAACATACTTGAATCAGCAAGGAAAGGTTTGCAAGCCTCTTCTCTTGAATATCTGTAAAAATAAACTGCCCTGACATTTTTGGGAAGATATTTTTGAATAAATAAATAAATATATATACTTTTTATTTTAACAAAGACTTCTAAAGATTAAAAATATACTGGTTGAACAGTTTCAGTGAGGTTTTTTAGTTAGACAAAACTAGAATTTATTTAAAAAAAATTTTTTTAATGTTTATTTCTGAGAGAGAGAGAGAGGGAGAGAGAGCGTGAGCAGGGGAGGGTCAGAGAGAGGGGGAGACACAGAATCTGAAACAGGCTCCAGGCTCTGAGCTGTCAGCACAGAGCCCAACGCAGGGCTAGAACGCACAAACCATGAGATCATGACCTGAGCTGAAGTCAGACGCTTAACCAACTGAACTACCTAGGCGCCCCCAAAACTAGAATTTAAAACTGTGGGTCTTTTATTTCATGACTGGTTTAAAATTATTGTGGCAATTAGTCAATAGTACTTGGCTGAGGCATTCATTTCTAATGGTCTTAAGTCCCTAATTCCACAGGTCTGGCATGATGTGTAAAATCAAATTTTCTAATATAATTTTTTTTTGTAGGTGGTTTACTCTGTGAATGAATAATTCCTGAAGAATGAAGAAGACTCAGTAATTTTGGGAATTCTTTGTGGAACTTTGACAAATGGAAAAAGTATTTATAATTTATTTTTGAAAAAAGAATATATCTCTGGTCAGAAATCATCAAGTGTGTTTCTTTTTGTGTTCCTCGCATTCTCACATGGAATTTATTTTTCTTAAAGGATATAGTAGGGAAAAAATCCTTTAATATTAATTTCTTCTATTCTTATGTCATTCTGGGAACTCTAGATTTTTTTGTAACAAGAAAGCAAATCCTGATCCCATTCAGTGAAACTTCCAAAATGAAGTTCATAGAAGTAAGGAAATAACCCTTTACCAATTCAGAATGAGTCTGGTAGTCATATCATCTCATTCAACATTAAAAAAAAGTTTGTTTAATGTTTATTTTTTAGAGAGAGCGAGACAGAGCACGTGAGCAGGGGAGGGGCAGAGCGAAAGAGAGTCACAGAATTCAAAGCAGGCTCCAGGCTCTGAGCTGTCAGCACAGAGCCCGATGCAAGGCTCAAACCCACAAACCATGAGACCATGACCTGAGCTGAAGTCAGACACTTAACCAACTGAGCCACCTAGGTGCCCCTCAACATTTTGTTTTTTATTTTTAACTTAAAGGCAAGAACTGGACAAGCCTTGAATCAGTATTTTAGATAATTATTGTTATTCTTTACTAGTTTTCTCTTTTGGGAAAGTTATTTGCTTAGGTTTTGGACCACATTAGAGTGCCTTGGCTTGAAAGATCTCGGCTGTTTGGTATAATTCATCTGTAGATGTCTAGTTGCATTTTAAGGTAGACTAGGATCATAGTTTAATGTCTACTGGCCACACCGCTATCTCTTACTGATTAGAAGCTGGTCCAGGCCAGAGGCTGGACTAATACAAAGAAGTCACCAATGAAATAGCTCCGTGTTCTGCTGTAGTGATGCCTAGGATAGAACATAGAGTGTGGTTTGCTTACCATAGCAACCTTGTGGTCCTGGTAGCTGCTTGTGGGCTAATGAAGAAATTGGTCATATTCTGCCTATTAGTAAGTTGAGTTTCATATTTCAACAACAAAAGATACTGAGGAACCTAAAAGAGAATATGTAGTGTTCATATGTCATTCTATGATGGGAAAATTGCCTCTTCTAGAAAGGAGCTGCATTAGGTATACTTTAGAATTCCTTCTAGTTAATTAAGAGCATAGCTATGAAGTATGACAGACAGGTTCAGCAGCTGGCTATGTCATCTCAAGCAGGTCACAATCTCTTTGGGTCTCTTTCTCTCATCTGAAAGAAAAAAAGAGGGGCACCTGGGTGGCTCAGTCAGTTAAGCATCTGACTCTTGGTTTCAGCTCAGGTCATGATCTCATGGTTTGTAAAACTGAACCCTGTGTTGGGCTCTGCACTGATATCGCAGAGGCTGCTTGGGATTCTCTCTCTGCTCTTTTCCCCTCCCCTGCTCATGTGCTTTTGCTCTCAAAATAAGTAAACTTAAAACACAGCATAGTAGTAATACTTAATGTACAAAGATTGTGAATACTAATTAAAATGGTGTATGTGAAGCATTTGACACAGCAGCATTTAGTGTTATTAACATTTTCTAATTCTTTGATTCTGTACTCATATTTTCAGCTGAATATTTATTTGGATATAATACTTTTAGTAAGTACCTTATAGCTTTCAGAGTATTCTTCTAGGTGAAGAATAGAATCTTGGACTCCTAAGATAAAAATCAACTTCCTACCCAGCACCAGTCCTTGCCAGATGGTCATCCAGAATCTGCTTGAATAATGTGTCCTGAACTACAAAAAGGGAAAAAATACAAACTTACCACCCAGTGTTAATTTTTGCTGTATGCTGTTCCAGGCTTTTCTTAGGCATTTATACATTAAAAAAAAAAAAAAGAGGTCATTTTTCTATGCTATTTACTTTTAATGATATCATAATATTAGTTTATCTTTCTCCTTGATAATTTTACCAGCTGAGAATATTATCCTACAATATGATTTGTATTGGTTATGTAAGAATCCATTCTGAGTTTAGTATAATTTGCCAATTCCCTATTATTTGTACATTCATTTATTAGACAGATGTTCTGTACAATGCTTGCTAGATATCTGATAGCATTCATGGAATTGAGCATCAGTCTTGAACAGGACATAAACCTGATGCCTAAATTATTTCTGATTTTCTTTGTTTTGTTGGTTGGTTTTATGGAAACATATGGAAGAAAGGAAGAAATCACCTGAAATCCCACTGGTCTACAATAGGACTATTTTTAGGTGAACTTGCCTTTCATCTCTTTCTGCATGTATACACTTTTACTATTTTTGGCTGTTCCATAATAACATGCATTGGAAGCTTCCATAGAAAATCCTTTACAAATCCTTATCTAATCACTAGGCTAAGAATGGACCAGAAGCTATACGTGTTTTCAAGGTTTTGGATGAGTACTGCCTGCCTTATCTCTAGAAAGGGGTTACTCATTTGCACCTTTGTATCTGAGGGTGCCCATTTCCCTAAGTTCTTAGCAACGCTAGTTTTTTCAACCTTTCCTGGTTTGATATGTTCACATGAGATGTAAAGGAACTAAAGCACTTCTTGACATCTGCCACAGTTAGGAGTAAATCTCACAAGACCCTCTGCCCATCCTTGCCTAGTGCTTAAGCCTTCCCAAAGATTATGCACAGCATTTTGGTACTAACAAAAGTGAGAGATGTTACCATTGAAAAATGAAGCACTTCACTTCCTAGTAGGTGACCACCACATTCTGACATACATCTTTGCTAAGCCCCTGCTATTCACAGTAATTTCCAAACTCAATACAGACACAGTCACACCATTCTTTCTAATCTTTTATTTTTGTCTAACCTTAAAACATTTGACTGGAAGATTGATGAGAACAGGACTATGACCCTAAGCAGGGCCTACCTTAGGATAACTATACTTTTCATTGGTCTGATGTAAGGCTATTGGAAAAACCATAATCCCCATTTTACAAGTGAGAGAGGTACTCAGTTTAAGGAAATTGTTATGGTCAAATAGCTGGTCACCTGAGATGTGAGTCTTGGTGAGTAGAGTTCGAGCCCATCATTCTTTCCTGTGCCAACTATCTAATATAAACATCATATTCATAGTTATAAATTCATTTATTCATTCAGTACATATTTAGTGAAGTTGTATTATATATAGGGAACTGCCCTAGGTGTTGAATATTCATGTGTGAATCAGACATACATCTTGTCCTCAAGGAGATGAGAGGCTATTTGACTCAACATTTATTGAGGACATAATATATGCTAACTATGTGCTAAATAGTGAACAAAGATTAGTAAGACATGGTCCCCACTCTTACTGAGTTTATAATCTAGTAGATATATGTATACACTACAAACAAAGTTGAATTACTCAGTACAATGCTGAATATTCCAAGACACTTTCCTAAACAGAATGCATGTGTGACTACCCAGGGTTTCCTTCTTTGGCTATCAAAAACTGCTAGTTGGTAGTTCCATCTGTGTCTGTTAGGGTGATTTTGAAATCAAGTAATAGAAAATCCTTATCAAGGACAACTCATATGACTGGAAATCGAGAGTTAGGGCAAGCTCTAGATGCAATGATAATCATAGGTTCAATGACACCATTCAAGACTCAAGTTATTTTCATCTCAAGTTTCCAGGACTGATGAAACCATGTGCTTTCTTATTCAAGTCCAGCAGAAGAGAGAAGCCATTCCCAAGGCATGAAATCTTTATTATTATTTTTTTAAGTCTGAGCCAAATTAGGTTATGCGTGTTCTTATAAAGTGATAATAGTTGCCAACAGGTTGCCTTATGTCGATTGACTTAAACAGGATCCTTGCCCCCTTCAACCCTTGGATTCATATGTAACAATTAGATATCAGCACAAAACTGGAATTCTGTAACAAGGAAGAAGAGTTAAGTGGATTTCAAGTAGGCAGCCAATTTTCCACTAAACCATCGTGTTTGCTTAACAACCAAGTCATTCTGAATGGTCAAATTGAGTTTGAAGGAGCATTTCCTCTCATAGTTTACTCAAACCTTTGAGAGAAAAGTATTAGTAGAACACAATAAGTAGTGTAATGTTCAGTTTTCATAGAATAAAACAATCAGATGTTTAGAGAACTTTCCTGAAGAGTAGTCCTTATGGAGATCTTAAGGGAGATCTGAATCTAGAAGCATTCAACTGCAGGTACCAGAATGCCTAACTAAGTGCTTAAGCCAATAAGTGCAGTTTGCCTCCTGTCATGAAGTCTGGAGGTTGAAAGTTCCAGATTTGAGATAGTGGCTCAGTAATACTTTTGAGAACTCTGGCTTACTCTATTTTCTAGCTCTTTATCCTCATCCTTAAGTGCATCGTATCTCGTGGCTATCATATCTCATGGTAGCTCCAAGCATTACATCACTACACAAGTATATTCAAGCCAGGAAAAAAGGTAGCAGGCCTTCTTACTCTCTGTTAGGAAGTCTACTTTTTCCCAGAAACTCCCACATGCTCTTCCTTTTATATCTCATTTGTCACATGCCTATTCATAAACCAGTTGCCATCAAGGGGAATGAGATATCATACTTGGCTTTGACCAGTCTTATTTCAAGCCCTGGCAACTAGGGGAGAAGCCCACCTTCCTTAACATATTGCCCAAGCAAGATCACAGTTCCATAAACTAAGGAAAAATGGGGAATGGCTATAGGGTAGACAATCAGTGGTGTCTGCCCAAGGGCAACCTGGTAGTGTGCATCTAAAGCCTACATCATGGCTCTGTTCAGTTTTACTATATGTTAGGAAAGTGTTAATTTCAAGCTCAGTGTTTTTCAAACTGTATGTGGTTTAATTTTTTCCAATTAACAGCCAATACTAAGGAGATGAAGGTGGGTGGGAATACACTTTAAAAACCCATATTGTATGCAAACCCAACGTTTTTGTTGAATTTAAAAGCCATAATTTGCTCTGTCAAATTGTTACAAAAATGTCTAAATTCTCTCAGTTTCTGTCCTTAATCTCATTACGGACCAGTAACCATTCACAGACCGGCCATGGTTCACCGCCACACTGGGAGGGGCAGATTAGCCAGCTGACTTCATCATCTGGCTGCAGCCTGCCTCTCCC